ATACCTTATAAAACTGGTGGGGGAAATTTATCCTTCAAGTCAGGATATTATGGAATTACAAAGAAGAGTATTAAAGGGATGTTGGGGTTTTTGGGAGGGCGTGGTTGGGCAAAAGATGTGATAATGACGCAGTAAGGGGGGATTGGGGTTTATGGCATTAGGGTTAGGGTAAGGCGCTATTGTGAAGCAGAGGTATATTCAGGCAGCGGGGGGAAAGGGGTCTTGGGTGGGGGGGTGATGGGGGAAAACGCAAATGGTGGGGTGGGCAGGGACTTAGTGGAGTGTGAAGATATGTTGAGGTTTATGTTAAAGGTTCGCAATGTTAAAAAACTCAAGGCAAAACGGTTGGTGGGTGTGGGTCGTCTTCAGGAATCAATGCAGGGGATGGCAGTGTATCCCACATATGATTGGTGAGTGATATGGGTGGAATTTAGTAAACTAAGAATACAGGCAAGAGCGAGGGAATAAGTATATAGATTTCTTATGGGGATGTTAGCATCGAAAGAGGTGCTACCTGGAGAGAGTTAGGTGCTTGTCCAGTGCCAGCTTGAAGACTGCCAGGGGTCTGTTGGTAATCCCCCTTATGTATGCTGGGAGGCAGTTGAACAGTCTCGGGCCCCTGACACTTACTGTATGGTCTCTTAACGTGCTAGTGACACCCCTGCTTTTCATTGGGGGGATGTTGCATCGTCTGCCAAGTCTTTTGCTTTCGTAGTGAGTGATTTTCGTGTGCAAGTTCGGTACTAGTCCCTCTAGGATTTTCCAGGTATATATAATCATGTATCTCTCCCGCCTGCGTTCCAGGGAATACAGGTTTAGGAACCTCAAGCGCTCCCAGTAATTGAGGTGTTTTATCTCCGTTATGCGTGCCGTGAAGGTTCTCTGTACATTTTCTAGGTCAGCAATTTCACCTGCCTTGAAAGGTGCTGTTAGTGTGCAGCAATATTCCAGCCTAGATAGAACAAGTGACCTGAAGAGTGTCATCATGGGCTTGGCCTCCCTAGTTTTGAAGGTTCTCATTATCCATCCTGTCATTTTTCTAGCAGATGCGATTGATACAATGTTATGGTCCTTGAAGGTGAGATCCTCCGACATGATCACTCCCAGGTCTTTGACGTTGGTGTTTCGCTCTGTTTTGTGGCCAGAATTTCTTTTGTACTCTGATGAAGATTTAATTTCCTCGTGTTTACCATATCTGAGTAATTGAAATTTCTCATCGTTGAACTTCATATTGTTTTCTGCAGCCCACTGAAAGATTCGGTTGATGTCCACCTGGAGCCTTGCAGTGTCTGCAATGGAAGACACTGTCATGCAGATTCTGGTGTCATCTGCAAAGGAAGACACGGTGCTGTGGCTGACATCCTTGTCTATGTCGGATATGAGGATGAGGAACAAGATGGGAGCGAGTACTGTGCCTTGTGGAACAGAGCTTTTCACCGTAGCTGCCTCGGACTTTACTCTGTTGACAACTACTCTCTGTGTTCTGTTAGTGAGGAAATTATAGATCCATCGACCGACTTTTCCTGTTATTCCTTTAGCACGCATTTTGTGCGCCATTACGCCGTGGTCACACTTGTCAAAGGCTTTTGCAAAGTCTGTATATATTACATCTGCATTCTTTTTATCTTCTAGTGCATTTAGGACCTTGTCGTAATGATCCAATAGTTGAGACAGACAGGAGCGACCTGTTCTAAACCCATGTTGCCCTGGGTTGTGTAACTGATGGGTTTCTAGATGGGTGGTGATCTTGCTTCTTAGGACCCTTTCAAAGATTTTTATGATATGGGATGTTAGTGCTATCGGTCTGTAGTTCTTTGCTGTTGCTTTACTGCCCCCTTTGTGGAGTGGGGCTATGTCTGTTGTTTTTAGTAACTGTGGGACGACCCCCGTGTCCATGCTCCCTCTCCATAGGATTGAAAAGGCTCGTGATAGGGGCTTCTTGCAGTTCTTGATGAACGCGGAGTTCCATGAGTCTGGCCCTAGGGCAGAGTGCATGGGCATGTCATTTATCGCCTGTTCGAAGTCATTTGGCGTCAGGATAACATCGGACAGGCTTGTGTTAACCAAATTTTGTGGCTCTCTCATAAAAAACTCATTTTGATCTTTGACTCTCAGTCTGGTTAGCGGCTTGCTAAAAACTGAGTCATATTGGGACTTGAGTAGCTCACTCATTTCCTTGCTGTCATCTGTGTAGGACCCATCTTGTTTAAGTAGGGGCCCAATACTGGACATAGGAGAAGAAATACTTTGCGTTTCTTTCGATTTCATTTATGGCTTTTAGTTCTTCCCGCGATTCCTGACTCCTATAAGATTCCTTTAGCTTGAGTTCGATGCTTGCTATTTCTCTGACCAGTGTCTCCCTACGCATTTCAGATATATTGACCTCTTTTAGCCGCTCTGTCATTCTTTTCCGTCGCCTGTAAAGGGCGCGCCTGTCTCTTTCTATTTTACATCTACTCCTCCTTTTTCTTAGGGGAATAAGCCTTGTGCATACATCGAGTGCCATCAAGTTAATCTGTTCTAGGCATAAGTTGGGGTCTGTGTTGCTTAGTATATCTTCCCAGCTTATATCGGTTAGGACTTGGTTTACTTGGTCCCACTTTATGTTTTTGTTATTGAAGTTGAATTTGGTGAATGCTCCCTCGTGACTAGTCTCATTATGTCGGTCTGGGGCTCCATGCATACATGTCTGAACCTCAATTATGTTGTGTTCTGAGTATATTGTTTTTGATATGGTGAAATTTCTTATCAGATCATCATTGTTAGTGAAGATGAGTCTAGTAGGCTCTATTATTTGCTGGTTTAAATTGAATTTTGTGCAGAGATTTAAAAGCTTGTGTGAGTGTGAGTTTTCATCAGAGCTGCCTCCTGGTGTTTATTACTGCAACAATATTATTTGCTATATTCCTCCATTTTAGGTGCCTTAAGTTGAAATCCCCCAGGAGCAAGATGTTGGGTGCAGGAGCTGGAAGACTAATGGGTTTTGTGAGAGAGGCGTCATGCGGTTTTTGTGGGGAAGCTGAAACTGCTTTCCATGTAGTATATTTTGGTTCTGCTTTGGAGGTGGTAAGATTGTGGTTGAAGAGGGTTTTCCTTTTATTGGGGGGGGGGTCAGATATCACCCCTTAGGGCTTTAATGTTAGATATGGGAGGGATGCCCAACGAGGTGGGGAGGGCTATCAGATACGTAATAGTTGATTACTTGTATGTCTCTTGGGGGATGAGAGAGGTGGAGGGAAACATTAGGATAAAAGCGTTGGCGGCGTGTTTTTATAGGACAGCGTGTAGGAACAAACCATTATATGGGGGAAGGTGGGTAACTAGTTTTCCTGAGGGATATCGCGGACTTACTGTTGAACGTCTACTCAGCTTGGTGACGGGGTGAGAGGCAAGGGGTTGGTCTCTTCAGTGGTGTGTCCTCTTGGAGTGATTGGTTGGTTGATGAGGAAGGTTGACTGGTTTACAAGGTGTTTGATGTGGGTAAAGTTTATTTGCAGGGAGCCGTCGGGGGCTTCGGGGTATGTAGCCCTTATGAATTTTGTAAAACCACAGAGTTAAAAGTTGTATGTGATTTTCTGTTTTTTTTTCTTTTATTGTTATAAGAACCATTTTATATAGGGGGTTTATATTCATATGTATATGTGAGGATATGTTTTATATATTAGAATCTGATGATAGCTTTATCCTTGTCATACGTCTTTTTTTATCATATTGAAGGGGTACATTATGAACTATGTACGAGAATATATAAGTATTTTATGGGGTTTATATATACCCTTCATTTTGTATGGAAGGTCATATTATATATTGAGTGTTAATCGGTAACATTAACTGTGTGTGTGTGTGTGTAGGTGTGTGTGTGGGAATCAATGTCTTAGGTATAGTTCTATTATTGGATGTAATATATTTTTAGTATATTTGGTGGCTAGTCATTTAGCGTTTTATTTCTATGTATAATCCAGTTTGTTCTGTACGAACACGTGTACATACATGTATGTGCATATCTGCATGTGTATGTATATACACATATACATGATTATAGGACTTATTCCTACATGTTTTATAATGACTCCGACGTTTTGTTTAGTAGTCGGTATGTTTTTTCCGTAAACTGGTTGGGTTTATTTCAGTAGAATTTTGTTATATCAATGTGTTGAAATGTATTTTGTTTTTCTGTGTGTGTACTGACATTGTCTGCCACTGTTTTTTGATTTGCTAATTGTCGGCTTGTGTTTTTTTTCTTATTATGGTTTATGTGCATGTTGCTTTTAAATAAAAAAAAAAAGAAAGTTTCAATGGATGTTTATATAATTTCATTTATATTTGGCCCTGTTACTGTGTCACCTGTAAGTTATGTTTGTTAAGGTTTCTAATGAGGTTAGGGGTCGGATCACCATTGTTTCTTTTTTCTTATTGTTAAGTATGTTATATGAAAATATTTGCTAGTGTATATGTATATATTTGTGTATATATTTGTGAGTGTATATGGGTAACCTCTTTTGTGTCAGTTACAATGTGTTGTTATATTTTGTCAGTGTATGTTGTGTAGGACTGAGCATCGTACTGTACTTATTTTATACCCTTTTATTTTATGTTAATCTGTAAAGTTTTTTAAATAAAATATATATAAAAAAAAGTATACCTGAAGTCCAACATATCTCCGAGGTACATCAGTAATTGTAATCTGTTTTAGATGTGCCAGAGATCTCCCCAGTTATGTGCGCTAAAATATTAATTCAGGACTGTACCTGTGAAATTCACATTTCTCACACGCAGTCTACACCTACCAACATGCAAGGTAAACCCAGCATACACCAACATCTCACCTGGTATTATATCAACACTACCTTGAGTGCCAGTTATGCTTACATATCCCTACTTTCCTATTAATACACAATTAAATTTCGTGCAATTTTAATGGACCAATATGAACAAAAAAACTTTTTCTTTCTACCCCGATATTCAATATAAAAATAAATATGTTTTTAATATTTACTCACATGTAATATCGTCCCATCAAGAGTGGTTTGGTAAGTAACCGTTTCACCATTCATAACAATTGATTCTTATTTTCTATACATTTGTCTTATAATTTACACAAGTACGTGCTCTTTTTCAGTGGGTTCTTTAGTCACTAGTGGTAACTGGAAAAGATGCTAACTGTGTATTCACCTTGAGACATGGAACTAGTGTTAGCCACTGCTGCTCCCTGGTAGTGCAATTTTTCCTCCCACAGTAGTGACGCTTATCAAGTTCCTGTGCCTCAACTGTGAGTGTGAAGCACTAGTGACTGTGCTTCAACTGCGAGTGGTGATTGTGCTTCAACTGCACTGGTGATTGTGCTTCAACTGCGAGTGTGAAGCACTAGTGACTGTGCTTCAACTGCGAGTGTGAAGCACTAGTGACTGTGCTTCAACTGCGAGTGTGAAGCACTAGTGACTGTGCTTCAACTGTGAGTGTGAAGCACTAATGACTGTGCTTCAACTGCGAGTGTGAAGCACTAATGACTGTGCTTCAGCCGTGAGTGTGAAGCACTAGTGACTGCTTCAACTACGAGCGTGAAGCACTAGTGACTGTTTCAACTACGAGCGTGAAGCACTAGTGACTGTGCTTCATTTGTGAATGTGAAGCACTAGTGACTGTGCTTCAACTATGAATGTGAAGCACTAGTGACTGTGCTTCAACTATGAATGTAAAGCACTAGTGACTGCTTCATTTGTGAATGTGAAGCACTAGTGACTGCTTCAACTATGAATGTGAAGCACTAGTGACTGCTTCAACTACCAGTGTGAAGCACTATTAACTGACTATGCTTCAGATGCAAGTGTGGAACACGAGAGAGAGTAACTGACTGAGAGGAGCACCTCACTGCCGCAGCCACAATAACAATCTCTGATAACTCACAATCCCTACCTTCATTATCACAAGATTTATGACTTCATTACTCTGGGTGTAGCACTGTATCTAACAACTTTATGCTCTGAAACAGAAGTTGAGTACCATAATAATTATATTATGCTCTTCATTTTTTATTTACAAACATGTAAAATATTTAGATAAGTTGGGTGTGGTGGCGTTGGCTGCCTCGGTACACTGTAAACAACTCCCAAGTCGTCATATAGTTTAATATCCTGCAATCGGCTTGTTATTAATTAATCGTATTTGAGATATTACATGTTGTCTCGTGTCTTCGCATACTGTGACAAGTTACAGAGACTGTGAGGGGACAGGTTATTGAAGAAAGCAGTATAAAGTACCGGTCTTTCCATTTGTCTCGTCATTTAATTTTACTTTAATGAAGTATATAAACCCATTAGGAATGGTTGCCAGGGTTAAAATATAGATTAATTTCAGTATTAATCTTACTTTTTAACAACTGTTTAGGCAAGCCTCAGTGTTTACCTGGAGATGGTTTCAGGGGTTAATGCTACGGGTCCCGGTCCCAGACCAGGTTTTCCGGTAGATGGCCTGATCAACCATTTTGTTGGTGCTAGCTCATAAAGAAATTGGAGTATGCATCAATAACTGGGCCTCTATCTCAGTTCTCACCCAGCTGTTGGTGAGGGCGGACGCAGAGTGTGCGACTGGTGCCCTCTGGTGTCTGTATTGAGAAGTTTTGTTTTCTCAAGATGGCGGAGCGCAGAAGAGTCAACACTGTCTGTGTGGAATTGTTGAAAGGTGCAATATACCAGGACACCGCTGACGTCATTCTGCCTCTTGTGATAAGAGATACCTATGGCATCCCATGTGAGGATTTATATGGGATTTCTTTGAACGGCAACGCGAGAATTTTTGTGAAATTTGTGTCGTCTGCTGCGTATGTGAGTGTTGGGGATGCCTTTCAAGAAAAAAGGATTGTCATCAACGCTAGTCTGGAGGCGCGCCTTCGTGATGTATCTGCAAGTTATATGTGGGTTCGTCTAAGTAATATCCCCTTCGAAGCAGACGAGGTGGACATCAGTCGGACTTTTGGGCGCTATGGCACCGTACAAGCTGTCCAAATTGGGCGTTGGTCCCAGGGTTTTTATGCTGGTATGCTCGCAGGTTCCTTTTCTATGAAAATAACATTGAGACATCCAATTCCCTCGTTTGTCATGTTGGAGGATTTTCAGACGCAGGTCTACGTAACCTACCCGGGCCAGGTCGGACGTGCCGACTGTGTGGTGCAACGGGTCATATGGCGGCATCTTGTGAGCACCAACGAGGGAAACAATGGTCGGACCTGACAGACACTACATCCAAAGATATGATGGAGGAGGATGAGCTAGCCCATCAGAAGCCCACAATGGTGGATGACGTGCTGCAGGTTTTACCAGCGGATGTAAAGTGGAGTGAAGCAGTGGATGCTGCAGAGGGGATCGTCTCGACGCTACCACTGGCGTCGGAGATCGAGACGATTGGGTGCGTGGACAGTGCGCCACCTTCGGTGGAAGAGGAGGCACAAACGCCATTGATATTGCCCAGTTTTGAATACTTACAGAGGATCCTCGATAGCCCAGCGTCAGAGGATTTACCGCCTACATTGGCGGTGTTGCCTGTGGTCGACCATGGTCTAGCGGGACGTGTGGGCGGCGAGGAAAGGCGTACGACTTTTACGTCTGTGGTGGTGACGGATGTCGAGGTACATAGAACGGACAGCGATGGGCTTATGGACTGTGAGGGAGTGTCACGTAAGAGGCCCAGTACACCTGTGGAGGACGATGTCTTAACACCGGGTTAAAGGTCTTGTAAAATGGTGTGGGCTGATGCAGCCAAGGGAGTTAAGGGACCCCCCTTAGAGAAGTTAAGTGGGAGTGTGGGGAAAACGGGCAGGTGCAGCAGTGGCAAGTCCAAGTCAGGTATAAAGGTGATGGGAAAACGAAATGAGAAAACCTAACCAGAGAGTTCAAGTGTATAACAATGAATGTCAATGGCCTCAGAGCAGAGGTCAAAAGACGTTGGGTAGAGGTATCGCTCAGACGTATGAATGTTGACTTTTTTTTATACAGGAACACAATTTTCGGTGTGGTAGTGAATTACGTGTGCAAGGGTATAAGTGCTATGCGGGAAATTCGGATAATCTCAAGGGTGGGGTTGTGATAGGCATAAGGGAGACCAGCCCTTTTAAGCTCGTAGCATGGGAGGGGCGGAGGGGGCCGGGTTGTGCGTGTGGTGGGTTCATGGGGGAACATTCAGGTGGGTTTCGTGGGAGTATATACTCCAGCGACAACAAATCGACGAGTAAAAGAGGATTTTGTATGCGATGTTTTGGTTTATTTTCTCAGAAGTCTACCCTTAGTTTCTGTCGTTGCAGGTGATTGGAATTGTGTGATCCGGGAAAAAGACGTCGAACCGCGTGGTGGGAGGTGTAATTTAAGGGTTTTACGTGAGGTATTGCAGGCGATTGGTGTAGTGGATGTTGTGGGTAGCGACGGGTGGAATGTGGAACATACGTTTTGTAGAAGGGGTTACGCTGCGCGGTTGGACAGAGTTTATATCACCAACTTAATCCGTAGTGGCAGGGTCGATTGTGTTGATCTGGGTTTCTCAGATCACCGTGGTGTTCTGATAACACTCGAGTGGGAGGGCGCTATCCGTGTATTTACTAGTTATTGGAAATTAAATGTCAGCTTGTTGCAAGGAGTCAATGCTGTGGAAGCTTTCAGGTTATGGTGGGTTGACTTCTGGAATAACGGGAATGGGATAGAGGATGTTGTAGAGTGGTGGCATTCAAAGGCGAAACGTGCAATACAGGGTTTTTATAGACGATTAGGGAAGGAGGAGGCGTGTTATAGATATGGGAAGCAAAAGTATTTAGAGGGACAGCTGCGGGATTGTTATGGTACAGGCGGGAGGTATGACCTAGCAGAAATAGAGTGCTTACATAGTCAATTACGGGAAATTCAGAACGATAAATTTCAGGCTTTGAGGGTGCGAGCTGGAATTGAGGAGGTGCTTTGGGGAGATAAACCCTCTGTTGGTGTTCTGCGTAGTTTCAGAATGAGACGTATGGCGACGACAGTTTTGTCAGTAGTGGTCGGTGATGACATGGGTGGTTATCATAAAGGACAAAGGCTAGTTACTACTGAGAGCATAGGGACCTATGCAGACCAATGGTTTGAGAGAAAATGGAAGGGTAGAGAGGGGAATCGAGAGGCGAGGGAAGCTTTACTGCGTGGCATAGTGGCAAATTTGAGAGACGTGGATCGAGAGGACATGGAGGGTTGTATATCGGAGGAGGAGGTTTCCAAGGCTGCTCAGGGACAGGCACTGAGGAAATCACCTGGTTGGGATGGGATACCAGGTGATTTTTATGTAGTTCATTGGGAACTGTTAAAACACATGTTGGTTCGACTTTACAATTCAATGAAAACTAGAGGTAGCATGGGCGGTGAAGCAGGGTTGGGTGTTGTAGTATTGGTACCAAAGGCCGAGGTCTGTGAATCTTTGGAGGCATATAGGCCCATCATGTTGATGGGGGGCGGATTATAAGATTTTTGCGCGTATTTTGGCAAACCAGATGAAATGAGTTTTGGACAAGGTAATATGGGAAGGGCAATACGGGATTCCTGGCCGATCTATGAGAGATGATCATCGACGCCTCAAAAGTTTTATGAAAGATTGTAGTGGAGGCGGAGTCATAGGATTGGATTGGGAAAAGGCTTTTGACAATGTGGATAGGGAAACATTATTAGCTATATTATTGAAGCAGGGTCTCGGGGAAGAAATAGTAGCGTGGGTATGTATGTTATATACGGAGGCACAGGTATGAGTCCAGGTCAATGGGAGGGTGGGGTCCGCGATAGGCATGGGGTGGGGGCTGTGGCAGGGGTGTCCCCTCTCGCAGCTTTTGTTTGCCTGTTTGCAGGACCCCTTTTATAGATTGGTAATGGGTGGGTTGGGGGGAGGATTATGCGCAGGAAGAAGCAGTAGAAATTTTAGGTTATGTGGATGATACCACCATCTTGGTGCATAGTAGGAATGGTTTAGCGTTCATAAATAAGGTTATAAGGTTTTTTAGCGATGCGTCTTCCATGCGCATTAATAGAGAAAAATCCAAACTTTTGGAGGTGGGGTCCTGGGTGGGCGGGACGTTAGGTATGGAGTATGGGTGGAGAACCGTTGAGCGGATAAAGATCTGCGGTGTGCATTTTTGCAATGATGAACAGGCGGCGCATGCATTTAATTCATCCATTGTAGTTACAGCTGCAATTCGTAGGATGGCGGGATGGAGACCACGTGATGTAACATTACACCAAAGAGTAATCGTTATCAATGTACTGGTGTATAGTAAATTATGGTTTGTTTCAGCGGTCTATCCATTGATGACGGACGATGTGTTGCGGTTACAGAGGAAGGCTTTGGATTTCATATGGGGTTACCGTAGGCATTGGTTAGGGAAGGACATAGTTATGACGCACGAAACTCGGGGAGGTTTGGGGCTAATACCACTACACAGTCGTCTAATGGGCATATATGTACGACAGGAATTCCTAACAAGGGGTGGGGTCAGGGGAGCGAGAGTTGATGCAGTGATGAGGGAGGTTCGACGATGGTGGGTGGGGAAGGACCTCACAAGGTGCGAAGCAATGTTACGGCACTTATTGATGGTGCAAAACCCTGTGAGAGTTAAGGCAGGTAAACTAGATAATATAGGTATAACATCGGCAGAAGTCATCGGTGCTGAGGTTTTCCCAGGATATCATTGGAAGACTATATGGCAGGGGTTCAAGAAATTGCGCTTACAACCACGGGTTAGGGAAACTGGTTACTGATTCCTCCACAGGATTTTGGCGTCCAAGGCACAATTGTACATTATGGGAATGACCCAGGATCAGACCTGTGTGTGGTTTGGGTGGCCGGAAATGGCGTTTCATGTCGTATACTTTTGTGACAGTTTACATAAGGTTAGGAATTGGTTC